ATTATAGGTCATTGAAGCTTCTTTACCAAAAGCACCCCTTGATACTGCACTTACATGTCACTGGCTTGCCATTGAAGGAGTGCAACCTGCTATTCCAGAAAATGCTGCTGTAGATGGTAGGTATCTAACCTTAAGTGCTACCAGTCATTTTTTTCTGCTCACAAATGAATGTTTGATGTTACAGTTCTTTGAACTAGATTTTAAGTTGAATAAAATTTAGCTCTGGACAATTAGTAATGGTTGATGTATATTCTTCTGATGTTAGTATTTTTACCGTGTCTTATGTATTCTCTGTCCGTTCCTGATTTTTTTTTCTCGATTTAGTGATTAGATCGTGAGTTGTGAATATTTAAGTTGTTTTCCCTATTTTTAAAAGTAATTATCGCATTTGTCATCTTTACATGTTTACACTCTTCGAAAAATGAAGTTATCAATAAATTATACACATATAGATGTCTGTAGCTATATACACGTGTGGAGATGAACATGATGCAGACAGATAGGGATCATTTGGCATCTTAATGCTATTATGCTACCTGATCTACTATTTGATTGTCTGTAAATCTTTCACCTTGTAACTTGTGCTTTCCTGCCTTGTTTAAGAATATCTGTTTTTCCATTATTTCATTTGCAGTAATTTCAGCACCTTCCGATGTCAAAAAAAATGAACAAAAGGATGACAACCTTCCAGTTGACATCAAATTACCTGTTAAGCATGTCTTATCTAGAGAACTTCAGGTATCAAAATTATTGCACTGCTGCAAGCTATCTTGTCTATCATCCTTTAGTTCATTTATGTTAGCTTTTATTATTTTTTGCAGCTCTATTTTGATAAAGTGACTGAGCTAGCTTTAAACGAGCCTAGTTCAGGTCTCTTTAAAGAAGCATTAGTAAGTTTGGCTACTGATTCAGGACTTCATCCATTAGTTCCCTATTTTACATGCTTTGTAGCTGATGAGGTAACCATATGTCTTTTTCTCGTGTTGGTGGATAAGAATGAAAGTGTTACTTTAGGCTAGCTCATTAAAATTGCGTGCTTCTCAATTTTTTTCAGGTTTCTCATGGTTTAAGTAATTTTCCACGTCTATTTGCCTTGATGCGGGTTGTTAATAGCCTTTTGCAAAACCCTCATATCCATATTGAACCTTATGTAAGTTCATCTGTTATTGACTTAAATTATTTGTATATTATTTTCTGACATAACATAACATGGGTTTTTCATAAGCAGGGCCATATTATTAATATTTAAATTATTATCACCATATTCGATTTGGAATGATGTTATTATTGAATCACATAAGCATGCTTTATGCTTAAGTATTGAGGTTGGTTTTCCATTTGGTGCTCCATCATCAAGATGGCTATAACAACATTTGCTTAAAAAGAAATTCAGAAGTAAATTAGAATGAAAAAGAAAACATAGTTAATGTAGTTTCTAAAAGCCTGGTCTGTAGGCTGGCCCATCAGCTGTCAAAAGGCCAGGCACGAGTTCCATTTTCTGGCCCAAAATAATAGGCTGTTTTATTATGCCATGTTGCAATGGGCCATGTTGAGAGAATACGGCACATTTATCCGTATTCAACGGCTTTAATTATCTAGTTAAGTGTTTTCTATGTATTTTTTTTAAATTGTAAATATATAGATGATGTATGTGTGTCTAGGTTGGTGTATGTATAGTGAAATGCAGTTGAGTTGTAGAATTAATAACAAGAAAAATCTTTCCTAATAGGTAGGTTTATGTTAGACTTCTTCTAAGGGAAGTTATAGGCTGAGAAGTTATAGGCAGTTATGAGAAGTTATTATGGTAGTTATATTTATTTTTAGGAATAAATAGGGAAAGGATAGGAGAAACAGATTATGGGATAGTTATTGAATGGTTTTCGGTGGGAGAGACCAAGCTCTCTAATTCTTGGAGGGAGAGACCAAGACTCTCAAATTTCTTGGATTAGTTTATGTATGTATTATGTATTCTCTATAGTGTTTGTATTTATGTGTCTGTTGTAAAAATATTCTATCATAAATAAAAGTCAGTTTCTACCATTAATTTGTATTTTGGTACTGGTTTCTATCAGTTTGGTTATCAAGTACTGTGACTGCATTGTGTTATTAACTTATTATGTCATATTGACATGTGACCAATGTTTTCAAAGCGGCCTTTTAGATTAAAATATTTTTTTAATTATTTCCGAGTTTTCCATTTTTGCCTGTTTCAGCTACACCAGTTGATGCCATCAATTGTGACCTGCCTTGTTTCTAGAAGGTTGGGAAGTAGATTGACAGACAACCATTGGGAACTTAGAGACTTCACTGCTAACCTGGTTGCATCAATATGCAAAAGGTAAATATCCTCATTCTATTTGTTATGTGTTGTGCATCAAGGGGAATGGAAGGTATTTTTACTTGATATTTTTATTGGTATCCCATTAACTTGTTGTAATTCATTATACATTTTCTCCTTGATTTTATTGTTGAAAACCCAATGCTCGCTTCGTGCAGGTTTGGACATGTTTATAGTAGTCTACAGTCCAGGTTAACAAAAACGTTGCTGAATGCATTCTTGGATCCGAAGAAGGCAATAACACAACATTATGGTGCTATTCAGGGGTTAGGAGCACTGGGACCCAATGTGGTATTATGCCTATCCATGCTCTTGGCTATTATGGAATTCATGAAACACCAAAAGCAAGATAAAATGATAAATATTTTGAAAAAAAAAAACTCAATAAACCAGTTCATATTTTTTTTTATTCTATCTTTGAATATAATACAACCCTGCAATGTGTACTGTAAATTTATTCATATAATATAACAATCTAGCACGTAATAACCATAATTTTTTTATTTAATCCAGTTGAAGTCTTGACAACATTTAATAAAATGAAAACTTAAGGATTTATTTGACTTGCGAAAAAAAAAACTGTTTCTTAGTTGTTTAACTCAATTCAGATTTGATATTTACATTTGGGGGGCTTTGAGCCTCTGACGTGATTTTATTGCATATCTTTACTTTGGAGGTAGGTTCGCCTTCTTTTGCTGCCAAATCTTGAAACGTATATACGACTTCTTGAACCAGAAATGCTTCTTGAGAGACAGAAAAATGAAATGAAAAGGCATGAAGCTTGGCGTGTTTATGGAGCATTGCTGGTAAGATATGTTGTGTCTTGTGAGATACTTGTTACAACTGAGTAACATCAGTATATCAGTCTCAGTATAATATAGTGGTCTGATGATTGTATGTATGTTTTCTCCAGCGTGCTGCAGGTCAATGTATATACGTTCCACTAAAGATGTTCCCAGCATTTCCATCTCCTGCCCCTCATACTGTCTGGAAAACCAGTGCAAGTGTTCTTACTTCTCCACCTAGTGAGTATTTGCCTAACTTATTGTTGGATCATGACTTGTAAATCGCATTGAATTGTAAAATTCAAAGATACAATGAAGATGTTTTGGAACATGCAATATAAATTAAGGGTGGCAAAACGGGCCGCCCGCCCCGCCTTAAGCCCGCCAAAAAAAGAGAGGGGCGGGCAAGCCCGCCAACGGTATATGGGCTTAAATAGAAAAGTTTTTTTTAATTTTTTTTTTTACATTTCAATTAGAAAGCATCAAACCAACAATTAGAAAACATAAAATGACAACTAAAAGTCTAAAACCATCAAGAAATTTCACCTAAAACAACCATCAACAAGAGTTTCAAAACTATAGTTCAAGTATTAACCTTCAACCAACCAAAATAAATATTGAGTGCTTGATTACTAGGCTGACGGGTCAACCCGCCCCTTTTTTGACGGACTTAAGGCAGGGAGGGCTGAACAGGTAGTCGGGCACAAAATTCCAACCAACCCGCCATTTTTTGGCAGGTGCACTGGCTGGCCCGACAGGTCACGACCCATTTTGACACCCCTAATATAAATGATATATGATGATCAATGTCGTAGTTTTAAGCTAGTGATTAACAAAACTATCCTCTAATATTTTTGGTAGACTTTAAATAGTTACCTTAGAGAGCGTGTACTGATTGATTTAATTCAAAAATTGAAAGATCTCAACAATGTTTCTCTTGATTATATATTTGTACAATTCTTTGTAAACAATACACGGAATATTCAGATTCAATTTTTGAAGGTTTCACAAGTAATTTCAATGATTAGTTTGTGTACCGACTCATTTTTCATGGTTAATCAAGATAAACGCAAGGCAAGCCCTATGGAATTGGAACAGCAGCCCCCTTTGAAGGTAACAGCTACTGATGGAGAGGCTAGTGTGGTTGTGGAAAATTCTTCACCATCTCATAAGCCAGAGGAGACGGGAACTCAAGCTTCTTCGGCTGATTCAAAAATTGGTTCATCATCATCTTCTGGACAGATGAAAAATCAGATCACTACAGATGAAGTTAAAAGTAGCATAGGTGATACTCAGGGCTTAAACATCTCTGCAGCCCTAGCCCAGGTTTGGAAGGAAGAGCTGAATTCAGGACGAATACTAACATCACTGGTTGAGCTGTTTGGTGAAAACATCCTTTCATTCATTCAGACTCGTGAGATGTATACGTTCTTGTAACTTAGGGCGGATTATAGCAAGTTTGTACAAGGATAAACCATGGAAAACCTGTAGGTAATGTTTGATTTTGAGAACAAGCTAATATCAGTTGGTATAAAATGTATAATTTACTTTCTGGTAAATGGAATTCTTTCGTTATATGCTTTAGATGTTGGGTGGTAGTGCTTGTTGGAAATTGAGGAATTGGAATCTATTGTTTGCGCACTATGTCAAATTCTTCATAACTTCAACCATACTTGTTAAGTACAATACAATTCCTTTTCTGTTAGAGATGTAAAAGCTCAGATTAAAATAGTTTATTTCACGAATACATTTGGAATCCATAACAAAACAGTGTAAGAAGTTTCAAAGGTAACAATAAGAACAACAAACAGAATGTTATACAATACTACAATACTCGCAGAATTTGTTAAATCTTAGGTATGATCTCATAGCAGCACTTAAGCTGCGACTTTATTGTACTCTCTTTCAACTGCTTTCTTAAGGATGCTGTCTTCTTCCAACACCATTTGAATTGGCATGAAACCCATTCCATCTGCCATTGCAAGCATCATCTCCTTTGTTTCTTTCTTGAATTCTTCTAGATCAACTGTGCCATTTAAATTGTGATCGAATTGTATGAACAAGGATGCATAAACACGGGCAAGCTCTTTTGGGTCTGACTCCACATCAATACCAAAGTGTGTTTCGAAAACTCTCAGACCCTGGAGCTCCTTTAACATCTCATCATAAGAGAGAAGACCGTCATGGTTTGTGTCAAGGCGAGCAAATCGGTTACCTACAGAGTCATTAAATGCTTCTTCATCTTCAAGAAAGTGGACAATGGTGGCACCATCTAGAATTTCTACACTCATCTTTCTCTTTTACTTGATAAAAAATAGAAGGTAGTTTAGTTTGTGAGGACAAAGAAAGTGATGTTTTTACAAATGCTAGTTGGTTGATGAGAAGAATTGGAAAATTGCTACTATATATATAGCCATTGGTAAATGGTAATCTGTTTTAAAAGCATATATTCTTTAACCACAAACATGGTATAGAAACCATGTGTTGTTTAATATGTGTATTTGTTTATTCATTGGTCAAACTGAGATTCCATTGGATGCTTTTTAAACCGCTGGTTAAATTGTTCCTTATCAGTAGTAAGTACAAAAATATACGGTGGAAACACGATATAATATAGTGAAGCATATGAAGAATAATGTAATATTATTTATTTATTTTTGTCATAAAAGTAGTTATTTTATGTCAACGTCTAAGAGTCAGAGTTGGTGGTTTTATTTATTTATTAGACACACAAGGTTTTAGTTAAAAGTCATAAACAACGATACTCGCTGCTAACTTTAATTTATTCAATGAATCAAAACTCTTATGCTTTACAAAGGATCTTCTTGGTTTATTCTTTTTATATATCTTTCCTTAGCCTAACATTATGCTACATGGTTAGTACGAAATTATGATAATATAAAGATGTTTTTGAAAGAGCCATATCATTAACTAAGTGATAAAAAAACTCATCATCATTTATTAAGAAAAATGCATATATAGCAAGCAATTAATGCAAAAGAAAATCAAGTGTTTACTTTTCCAGAAAATAGTCTTTGCTATTAAGAATATTTTGTAGCCATTCAAATAAATTATATCTTCTATAGGGGTCCAACATGCTTGGTCCACCAATTCTCGAATATTTAATAACGAGGTGAATATCTAAGTAACAAATGAGGAGGTCACATGACAAATACGTGACCTAATTCGACCCAATCTCTCTAGTGGAGAATGTGGTAGACCACATCTCAAACAAGTGAAATAAGACACAGGTAAATATCTAGGTAACAAATGAGGAGGTCACATGACAAGTATGTGACCTAGTTCGACCCAATACGTTGATTGATTAAACTTTCGAAATCCCGATTCTCGGCTGCGCGGAATCCTGGTTCCTGTATCTTAACAAAGACAAACTTGAAACAGATTAAGGTTAGATAATCAAATGAATATGATCCTAAAATGATGATGAAGATCTAAGGGGTCAAAATTTAGGGTGCAACACCATTCAAATAAGAATTCGACCGAGTGAAGGCCTTGGGACAAGGTGGTTCCTTGCAATGGAGTAGCGTGAGACGGTGGACCGTGTTCGTGAATCTTGGGTTTAACAAGTGTGTGCTAGTGATTAATCCGAGCGAGTGAAAACCTTAAAGACATGGAGGTCTTGAAAACAAGTAGTCAAGAACTGGTGGATTGTAGCAACATTTTTGGTGACTTGATGAAACTTTGAGCAAGGGTTTGGAGGTGGTAGAATCAACAACAAGCCATAGAGTTAGTGGGGTTAAAGTTCTTCATCTCTTGTATAAACATTTATCAAAGATAAAGTTAATTGCAAGTATCTCAATTCGACTTCGAATTGAGGGAAGACGTACCCATAGGGAGGCCGATTGGGAAACTTCCTAAACAAATTTCTCTCTCTCTCTCTCTCTCTCTCTCTCTCTCTCTCTCTCTCACACACACACACACACACACACACACACACACACACACACACACACACACACACACACACACACACACAATATCTCTTTAATTGTTGTTCTTGTCAATTATCGAATTTATTATTATTTTGACCAATTCGATTAGAAATTGTTTTTCAACTATCTTTTAAAGTGTTGTTGTTGATATAATCATAATCACTTTAATTGTGATTGAATTTTAACATCAACAAACCAAATTGAATTTCCAAACGTTATCGATCGCACACAAAGTGTTCGATAAATTGCCTTTGAGTATTTTAATTGATTTGTGTTCATTGGAAATAAGCTCTACGCATAGCTTAACATTTAATTGATTTGTGAATTAATAGTTTTTGAACAATTTGTGTTTATTATCATCCAATTGATTTACATTACACATATTCAAGCTTTTCGATAGTAGATTCGATTAGATGATTCGATTCGGGTTGTTTCCGCTGTGCCATAAAAATTTTGAAAACAATTTTTTGCCAAAAGTTCTATTTGTAAATTTGTGATCTATTTACTTCCTAGATTGAAACCTATCGTATAATAGCTTAAAATAAGTTCATCAAAATACCTAATCAAAAGGAAATGAAAATTGGATACTCATAATATAATTAATCACGCCCTTAGAAAACTGGATACTCATAATATAATTAATCAAAGCTAAAGAGTTTGATAAATAATACATGAATCTAATAGGAAATATATGCTTCAATGGTGTAGAAGCATCAAATTCTATGCAACAACCATATAGGCAAAATATCCTTGGCCCACAAGCTCATTTGATCTAACTTCTAATACTTTTTTTAAAATGACAAATGTTAGTAGTTAGTAATCCTTTTTTCTCTTGTTCCAAGAATTGAACCCATGACCTCTAACTCCTTTACCCATGACCTCTAACTCTTTTAACCATTAACTCAAACCAGCTCAAACAAACTCAAATCAATTGAGCTAATTTTCACCCTTTTACTTGCCCCATATGATACAAAAATAATAACAAATACATAAAGAAATACGATGAATACCAACGATACACAAAGACACACCACACTCTTACACATAAGCTACATTTTGTAGAGTCCTTTTAGCCTTTGTACATGTAGGTTTTGATATCCTATGTCTATTTCCTTTTGCCTTGTGTTAATAAAAATTTCTTATAGTAGAGTCGACTATTTCCTATAGTTGATAAAGTTGATCCAATAGCAACAATCATAATTGAAAGGTGTTGTGAATCAGATGTCTTGAAACAAAATATAAACAGTTTCTTTATGATCAAGAAATACACAAGGGTTAGGGTTAACAAAGAAAACAAGGTAAAACAACAAGGAACAAAAAGGATTTGTTATAAACTTCTATTCTTTCTTTTCTCTAAGAAACAAGATTACAAGTATACAAGAATAACAAAATAACCTCTCTCTCTTGAAATTAGGATTTTATCTTCCTATTTATCCTTATACCAAGATGAGAGACTAGCATGCTATTTATAAGAAAATTAGCACACTAACCTAATAAGTTTTTTTTAACAATTACCCATTATAAGCTAACTTAGGGTACAAGCTAACTTAAACAATTGGCTTACAAGCAATGCCCAATTCAACATGCTAACAAACCTAGCAATATTGACTAATGCATGTTAGAAGAAACTTTAATTACAACACACATTACTAGCGAACAGACTTCAATCAAACTAGAGTTCGATCCAATATCTCAAAAATCTCCACCTTGGGTCTAACTCTATAACATCAAGAAATTATCTTTCTTCATGCAGCTTTATCAACTACATACAGTGGAAAAACTTGCAACTGGGCAACATTTTGGTGATCATATCAACAACATTATGATATGTCAAAACCTTCAGCACTTGGACTTCTCCACGCTCGATTGCCCCTCTGACAAAATGCAACCTTACATCAATGTGCTTGGTTCGTTCATGATAGGCTGAATTCTTCGACAGGTGTATTGCACTTTGACTATCACATTTAACAGTGATAACTCGACCTTGAAGTTTCAGCTCCTTTGCATAACCTTCAAGCCACAATGCTTCCTTTATAGCTTTAGTTAGGGCAATATATTTCGCTTCAATGGTTGATAAGGCAATGACCTTCTGAAGTGTAGCTTTCCAACTGATTGTTGTCCCAAACATAGTGAACACATATCCATAAATAGATTTTCTAGAATCCATACAACCTGCATAATCATAATCGACATATCCTTCAATTGCTACTTTACTTTCTTCACCCAAGGCTCCACCATAAATTATGAATCTATTCAGAGACCCATTTATGTACCTTATAATCCACTTTAATGCTTGCCATTGAGCCTTTCCAAGATTCACCATGTACCTGCTTATAAGACTTACTGCATATGCTATGTCGGGTCTAGTACATACCACAACATACATCAAAGAACCCACTAAATTAGCATATGTAATTCTATTCATATAAGCTCTTTCGACATCAACATTGAGACACTGATCTATACTCAACTTGAATTGAGGGTTTGTCGGAGTCACAACATGATTTGAATTCGACATACCAAACTTTTCGAGAATATTCCGTAGGTATGCCTATTGAGATAAGCATAATTTCAAATGCTTTCTATCTCTTCGGATGTCAATCCCAAGAATCCTGGACGCAGATCCCAAATCCTTCATGTCGAACTCCTTATTGAGTTCATACTTCACCCTCATTACATCTTTGACATTGTCGTTTGCTATTAGAATATTGTAACACCCCAACTCTAACACTTGCGGATAACTGGAAAACAAAACAATTCATTTGACAAATAGAGTGCAATAGCGTAAAGTTTGCACGCATGACGATCGTAATGAAGGTGTGATGGTCATCACACGCCCAAAATTCTTCATATCAGAGATGTTACATTCAACTGAACAGACAACATGCATTTATGCAGCCACATTTCAAATAACATACGTAGCACGAAATTGGATGAACAGACAACAACATTGCTTAACATTTAACTCATAATGCAACCAATTCTTATTTCGACGGAGTTGTAGTAAAGCTTATAACACGTCCAATTAAAACAATTTAATGAAAATGCTATAACAAGTGCAACAGCAAAACATCAACTAAAATAATAACGGCAAACGTTCATCCCCCCAAGAGTGCTACGTATCAGAGCGACCAACGACACCTTAAACGACAAAATGGAACTTCATTCCGGGCTACCTGCAAATTACCACCAATGGCGGTAACATACAGCGTAAAGGAGTGAGATATCAACAACATAACATAAGGAATGATAGATGTCATATTAGAAATCATATCACAGCAATGTAATCTTCACAAACTTATAAACATCAACGACAATAGTTTGCAAGCAAATTCATA